TGTGTGTGTGTGTGTGTGTGTGTGTGTCTACTCTGTCCTGTGGGGTTGCTGAGTGGATCGACTGACAGCCGACAATTCTTTCCAGACCATTTATCTCCGTGTTTCCCAAAGTGGGTGATACCACCCTCTTTGGGGCACTGGAGCCATCTGGGTGGGTTGGGTACAGGCCTATAGTACAAAGGTTTTCAATTGCCGGATGGGTGTTGAATAATTTTTTTTCTGAAAGGGGGGTGGTAGGCCAGCTAAGTTCGGGAACCTCTGATTTATCAGCTGTGCAGCTCTGCTTTTTCTACAGAATGATGTCCTGTCTAAGTGTTGTTGCTTTGAAAAACAACTAAATCGAAACAACGAGCACTTTCTAAAAAACAGCATGACAACATCATGGGCAACCAAACATTAATTTAACATTCATCTTTATTAGGTATACTATGGGAAAACTATAATGAAGGAAATACGAACAACACTCTTTGCAGGTAATCAGAGAAAGCTTGTTCTCTGGACGAAGGTGGACTAATGGAAGCTGCTCTACTCCCCCCTCTTCCAGGTGGAATCTGTGTTGAGACAAGGACTCACCATATTAACATGGTCATCTTTAACCTTGGAAAGCTTCTTTCAAGAGGTTGACGCCGTTTTGGATATGTTCAATCAACTACTAAAGCAGGTGTGATTAAGACATTAAAAAGGTTGCGCACATCCATGTTCAGGATATAAGTCATAGTTTGAACATCTTTGAAAACCTTTTCAAGGGTGTGCCGTTTACCTACATGAAATCCACTTAAAAATGTGCTTTGCATCTTCTACCGCTTTGGGACCTTCGTATTTAGGGGCATCTTGTTCTTGTCACAATCCGAGGTGTTTTGCTTATTTGTTTGTTTGGTTTTGAAAATCATATCTTTGTTGGAGGACACTAATGAGTGACCTGAAATCACTTTCTCTTCAGAAACAAATGTAGGAATTTAACGTGTATGATTTCTGGCTGCTTGCCAACCCTTTTCATCTGTTTCGAATGATCATAATTAGGCCTGGCTTTTTCAAATCATCTAAAACATGATGGACATCTTTATATCGGCTCTAAATTGCTTTGCTTTTTAAATGAGAGGACCTCTGGTGGCATAGTGGGTTGTGCATTGGGCTGCTAACCTCAAGGTCAGCTGTTCGAAACCACCAGCTGCTCTGCAGTAGGAAGATGAGATGTTCTGCTCTGGTAAAGGTTAACAGTCTCGGAAACCCACGGGGGCAGTTCTACTCTGTCCTGTAGGGTCACTATGATTTGGAATTGACTTCGTGGCAGTGGCTTTACATTTTTTGAACTTACGTTATACTTCAAATATATTCTGGACAGAAATCCTGCTATTCTTGGTTTGCAGAAGGCTCTGGATGATGGCAAAAACCTAAAATCCATTTGCAGAGTGCCCCCCCCCCCGCCCCCGCCCCCAGATTTAAATCTCTATTGAACTCCTTGGGACCATTGACTAAGCCTGTGAATAGTCTTGCCTCAGACAGAATGCATAGGAAAGTGGATTACTGCAGATATAGTTAGATTGAAATTTAAGATATTATTACTTGTTTTCCTGTTTGACCCATTTAAAGTTTGTTCTAGTTAAATCAAGAGCCCTAGTGACGTAGTGGTTACCCATGAGTTTTCCACCGTGAGCAGTTGGAAACCACCAGGTGCTCTGGGGGAAAAGGCCGAGGGGTTCTACTCCCTAAAACCTTATGTATAGTCTCAGGAACCTGTAGGGGCAGTACTACCCTGGCCTCGAGGTCAATATGTCAGAATCAACTTAACGACACTGAGTTATAGTTTTTATTCTCTTCTGCTTTCTCTTGGATTGAGGTGTTTTGTGTGTTTTATTTTGTTTTCGTTGTTGGAGTCTTTTTGTATGAAATCCATGGAAACAGTAATTAGACTAATAATTCCTTAGGGTTATGACACAGGAGGATTAGGGAGGTGGTGGGGAGCTAGTAATAATGGGTACAAGAATGAAGAAAATGTTCTAAAATTGATTGTGGTGATGATTACACCATCTTTAAAATAGATATTGAAAACCATTGAATCGTATGGCATGTGACTTATATGCCCAATAAAACAATTTTTAAAAATCCTGCTCCAAAGGACAAAGAAGACTCATTCATTCATTCTTCTTGGCAGGTCAGTGACTTGTGTGAAATGCATATTGATACAGTACTAAAGGAGATCGCCAAGACAGTGTTAATTTCCCTGCCGGAAAGCGGTGCTACCAAAATTGAAGACATGTTGGCCCTCAATGAGGTATGCTTCTAAACATGATAACCAGTCCTACTGACTAATAAGCTCAACTGGATTTGCCATCTGAAAGTCGAAATCTGGGTTAGTAGCATCTTGGCAGCCTAGCTATTTTTTGAATACTTTCTGCTCCAAGAATTGGCATGGCTTCATCAGTAAGCTTGACCCAGAGCTGTGTTTGTAACGTCCCTTTGTTCTATTGCCCACAACCTTCTTTGAGATTCAGTGCTCTCCCCATTCTGCGTGCATTCCCTGGGCAGTAGTCTCATCTAGTCTCATGGTTTTAAATGCCACACACTTTCCAACTCCCAAAACCAGACTCACTACCATTGAGTCGATGGCGACTCATAGTGACCCTTCAAGACCGGGTAGAAAGCCCTGTCTTTAAAAAAAAAATTTTTTTTTTACAGGCGTAGAATGCCGTGTACTTTTCCCATGAAGCGGCTGATAGTTTGAAACTCCTTGAGGTTGGCAGCCCAATGCATAAGCACTACACCACCAGGGCAGTGACTCCTAAATCCAGGTCTTCCTTCTGTATCCACTTCCCAGGTTCCAGATTAAGTCCCTGACTCAGGATGGAGCTCTGTTCTGATGACTGTCCTAAGTCAGTGCTGACTCACGTTGAATGCCTCCCTCGGCCATTACTATTGCCTTTTATCATCAGTATCTTTGTAGGCCATCATTTCAAAATTTGTGAGTGAACATCTGAGAAAAGTAACATCAGAATAGTATATGCTGTAACACCGTATGTAGTACATATTACTAACAAGAAGATGTAAAAATAATGTATAAAGGGTGATTGTAAGTATGGGTTGTGGTAACTTGAATGTGCCATAAACTGGGGACTACTGGTTCTATATCCAGCTGCCACATCAAACTCAAGTGCAATGAGAACATGTCACTGTTCAAGGTCATCGGCATAGAAATCTACTTGGCTGTGTAGTCACTGGGAGGTCTTAAATGCTTCAGTCTGAACCAAAGATGAGAGAAGACAGTACAGGTGCAGGGAAACAATTAGTCCCATGGACTACCCAACCACGCAAACGAATCTCAGCCTCCGTCATTCGGAGACGAGAAGAAGTCGATGAGGGCTAGTCACTAACTGACCACTCTGAAAGGGACCGCAATAGGAGGTCCTAGGGAGACTGGCAGAAAAACCTCAAAATAATAATAATAAAAGACCAGGCTTATTGATCTGCTAGAGATTGTGGATCCCTGGGGAGACTGTGACCCTTAGTCACCATTTAGCTTTTCAACCAGTTTTGTGGCTTACCTTTCAACCAAACAGTAGGCAGGCCTATTAGGTGAATGATAACACCATAGAGGTAAGAGTGCCCCAGAACAACCATCCCTATGAGATCAAAGGGCAGCATTTGCCCAGGGAGAGGGCTCAGCAGGCAGGAGGGAAGGGAAAGGAGGAGGAATGGACGCAGTGAACACAGGGAGGCAATGGGAAACATTCTACTGCATGTGTGGGAATTGCAATCAGTGTCATGAATCCAAATGTGCATGACTTGTTGAATGAGAGCCACTCAGTAACCTTTCACCCAGATCACAAGAAAATGTTAAAGATAAATAAGCCATCTGATGTCACCTTGTCACTGAATACCACATGCTCCTCCTCTTTCTCTGCCTCTTGGTGAAGGCAACCACCCTCCTTTAAGTCATAAGGGCGCTTGAAAAAGGTCATGGAAAAATACACTGAAAGAATAATGGAATGTTCCCATGAACTTTATAAAGCCCCCCTTGTATATCCCTCGTTTCCTTTTAATCATCTCCTCCCTTCTTTCAATGCTTTTTAGTTGTTGAAGAAACTGGATTATTTGCCTTGCAGAATTTCCCAAGTTCTGGATTTGGCTAATTTCCATCTAGCCGTGTGATTTAGCATAATGACATATTCCTTTAGCCTTTCAATTTCCTGTAAGTTATAATTAGATCTAGCAGCTTGATCCAGTTCAGATTCAATTTCCTTTTCTATCAAGAGCAGGTTATAGGTGACAGAACTGTTATATCACACTAGCCCCTTTTAGTGGAAAACTGGTATTTGGACATTACCATCTAGGGACTATGAAAAGCACCCCCCAAAAAAGATGGAAAAAAAAAAAAGGAAGTGTAAGGTTATGAATTGCACTTGAGTGCAAGAAGAATCACATTTCTTTAAAAAATTTTAATTGACATATAATTCATAAATCATACACTTTCATAGTTCAGTCATATGAAAAAGAGTTGTATAATCACCACTACAGTCAGTTCTAGAATACTGTTTCCCTTCTTGTACTCATTACTAGTGTCCCATTTCTCTTCCTCTCATACCTTCAATAAACCATTAATCCAGTATCCTGGATTTCATATATTGGAAAACATACC